GCAAATATCTTGACGTACATATCCAACGTCTAAAATTATTTTCAAATTATTTTTAAATATTTTGACAAACCCAATCTTTTCATTCCAACAGAAAAACATTTTTCAAGTCTACATTTTTTACATTTTGCCAAATTTGTTTGTGACTTTTCGTCTTTATTCTCTTTCGAACATTTACATTCATCATATTTCCATGAATGTTCGTTTAAAAGATAACGCCTTTTTGAGAAAGAATTTTTTTTAATTTAACCTAAAAAATACCTGAAAAAAGACCCACAAGCCCTACACGTAATAACTCCATAATGAAAACAAACACTTATGGTTGACCCACAAACTTTACATTTTCTAATGGTGTTTCTTTGCATTTTCTAATTAAAATACAGGATAACCCAAAAGTAACTGGACACTTTATTTAACTTTATTCGAATTAAACTTGAATGACAAATAAATAAATAAATAATAAATATAAAGAATTTTTAAGTGCTTTCCCTTTGCTTGGTTACGAAAGCGCGTGAAAAAATTTAGTGCAATTTTTGCCAATAGTTTGTTGACTGTTGTCTTGTTGACTATTTCTTTTTCACTTTTTTAAAGTCAACACAGTCGTACCTACTTCCCTAAACATTTCATGGGAAATTTTCCCCATAAATTTATTGGGGTCGCACTTAAATTAATTTTTGTTAGTAACCTGTAGAGAAAAAAGTCAACACTCGTACCTACCTAGGGCGAAATCAAAAAATAAAAAGCGAAATACGAAACGCGAAACTTTTCGCGCTGAAAAATGTGAAATATGCGAAAGACGCGAAATGCGAAATTAGCCCAGCCCTGGTACCTACTCCCCTAAACATATTTTAGAAAAATTTTCCCTATGAATTATTTCATACCCGAATTTTTAATTGTTCTTGGAAAGTGCTTTTATGGAAATTTGTGTGTTAAAAATCTATTGTAAGTTAGTTAATAATCGAATCGTGCTTGCAAGCTATGAAAGAGAATTGGGGGGGGGGGGCTACAAAAAGAGTATAAAAGTAAAAATGGTTATAATGAAATGAAATTTCTATAAAATGCATGTATAAAATGTATGTAAATACCAAGAAAAAATGCTTAATTAGACATACATACTAATGCAAATGGCCCAACATTCCCAAAAATTCGGCTCTATCTGAAAGGAGGTGCGGCATCATATTTTTTCATCCTTCCTTACACAACCTTTCATTTTTCCTTAATATGAAAAAATGGTCAGTCTTTTTTCCTTCCTTATTTTACTAACTTACGGCTAACTTACGGAACAGACAAGACACGGATCATACCAAAACTCGAACAGACAAAACATCGTCTTACCAAATCAAGGAACGACCAAATAACAGAGCGACCATAACACGGAATGACCAAAAACTGACCGAAGATCTGGTCTGTAATCTGGTAAGACGGAGACTTGTCCGACCTTTTTGTCGTTCCATCTCCTGTCTGTTCCGTCCTGACAATGGCAATGAGAAAAAATTAGTCCTTTCCTTATTAATGTCTCTCATTTGAATATGCCACAGGGAAAATTAAGAGCGTGGAAAAGACTGACCATTTTTTCATATTAAGGAAAAATGAAAGGTTGTTTAAGGAAGGAGGAAAAAATACGATCCCGCACCTCCTTTCAGATAGTGCCAAAAATTCTACTCTTAGGGGCGCTTGTTTTAAAGCGGCACCGGTCGGTTTAGGCCAGCGGTTTTTCGGTTTTTTGCCTAAAAAAGGGAGCGTGTGGTTCGGTTAATTAACCGAGAGCAACCCTAATTATTACCCAATGAAACGATATATATTAAGGTTTGGAGTCACACTTAAATTAATTATTGTTGGTAATTGTAGAGGAAAGAAATATTTCTAATAAAATGCTATAAAATGGTTTATATTTCATTAAATATAAAATATTTTTTGGCAAAATTGTCAATATACTATGCAAAATATAAATTATATGGATGATTCTGATGTATACGAACGTATTTAATTTTAGTCTTGGTTCGTATAATTATCAGCTGAATAAATAAATAAATTTTTTTTATTAACAAAAGTTAGCAGCGAATTGAATGATTGGATTTACATAATCAATTTAGTTATGTAAGTTCGAAACTTCTCTCCTTTTATTTATTCAATATAAAAATGACAATGAAAGGGATGGACACTTACATCATTGTCTTAATAAAATATATGATATTTGGTCAATGGTAATAAATTAACTGAATATTCAACAAAAATAATCATAATGAAGGGATATTGATATACACAGATATACGACTAAGTTAATTGTTAAGTTAATACGACTAAGTTAACCTTTCTTTCTATGAATGAATATTTTATTTTATAAACAAAATTTTATTTAAAAAACTTAAATTAATTCAAAACAGCTAATTAAACACACAAAAATTTAAATGGAGAAGAAAATTAATTTTTCTTAACATTAATCTAAAAATGGTTAATTGCCATTTTCAGGCATTTTGGCCAGCGTTTGCAGGATCTCACACTAAAAAATATTTTAAATTAAAAAAGAAGGAATTGCAAAGAAGGTCCGGCCTACTGATTTGGCATTATCAGGATTTGACAGTATTGCCAAAATATATGTAAAAATAATCCGTCGATATCCTACTTATCCCTAGATACCCGTGATATCCAGTCCACCTATATCCCCAATAATTGGTGTAAGGCAAATGGATTAAGTGGTATATCAGTTGAGTTGGAGGAATAACTATGGAAGAATCCAATGGATAAATCCCCACTAAACAATATTTAAAAACATAAAAAACAAATTTAAAAAAATCCAAAAAATATATTAAACTTAAATTAAAAATCCAAGGGAATACTAATACTACCAAAATATATACCCCAGAAATGAAAGCTTGATTTTTAAAAACCCAATAAAAGTCAAACCCCTCAAAAGTGGTTGAGGGGCTTGACCTACCCCAATCTTCAGCTTCTTTGTATTTTCTTGTGTGATAAACGTTCTGTTATGTTCCTCTACGTAAGCGTATCTTCCTCTACGTAATATTACTTATTCTTCTCTTTTTTTAGATTTTAAATGTCTAAATTAATGCCTTCTTTTTATTCCCTTCCTGAGATCTCCTTTTCTTTCTTTCCTTCCTGATATCTTGTAATCCATCTCCTTTATCCTTAACATCACCTTAATCCTCTGCCACTCTACTTTTGCATAAATGAAAAACCTAAGAAACCTAAGGGATAACGAAAAAGGACATGAGTTTTCATACAAAAATTTATTTTATCGAAAATTTACTTATTTTTCTAAAAAAAATATTTTAACATAAAGGATTGAAATTCCCTAAATATCAATTTTTATTTTAACAAAATATTCTTCTTCCTTTACATTATCTCTATTTATTTAACATCCCAAGCATGGTCCTTCCAACTATGTGCCGGCCAAACACCCGGACGATGATAATGAAAAAAGGGTGGATAATCCTTTAAAATTTTTGTGAAATTACATTAAATAAACAAAAAATCCCCCTACTTCAGGTGGACGCCAATTCAACGCCAACCGATCGTTTGGACGACGAACTTCATAAAACTGGCGATAATAGGGAGGTCCTTAAGGAAAAAAATTTAAATAAAAAAATTATTTAAATTCTACTTTTAAAGCCCAGAGTAGGCAAATCATCAGGCAATCCATCCCTATACACTTTGAAGCCCAAAGCAACAATAGTGACAGGTATGCAGAAGACAGAAGAAAAAAATATTTCAGTATAATTGTACATCCAATGTCGAGGTTTTGCCTTAAAAATAGATTTAAATATTTTAATAAAATTTGAGAAAAAAAAGATTTAAATTATACTGGAGATTTTCGGGGTTTTTTAAAGAAATTTTGATGCTTTGAGAAAATTTAAAAAAAAATTGTAAGTCAATTCAAGTATTTTTCCAGAAACATTTTGTTCTTTTCAGGGATACTATTAATATTTATCATGGAGGATGTTTTCAGGGAAAAATAATTACTATAAGATTTATAGAATATAGCAACTAGTGTTTCACCGGAAACGAAATTTTGACCGGAGCCGGACCAGGGTTGCGTCGTAATTACGAATTACGAATTACGGTGTTTTTTCAGTTACGAATTACGATTACGAAAAAATTTTTTAAATTACGAATTACGATTACGAAAATATAGCGAAAAATTACGAATTACGAAAATAACGTTGCCATTAAATTTTATAATGAAAAGGGGAAGAAATATTTGAAATATTTATATTTTCTCTCGCTGTTACTTTTGTTTAACGGTGGCTGAGTGGGTTAAAAGTCAAGCTTCACTCATTTGATATTTTGTGAGGTTTGGTTCGAATCCATGTATGGGAAAAAACATTTCGACAATTCATTTTTTTCAAAAATAAATGTTTTTAAACTTTTATTTTGATTTTAGGTTTGTAAATTTATATTTTTAATATTTTAAATTGAAAAAACTTTAAAATTTTTAATTTAGTCATGAATTTTCTAAAAATTTTCGCCTGCGGCGCAGAAAATATAAGAGTTTTGGCTCAGGATTAAGTGAGAGGGATTTCACATGATATCAAACTTTAATCTGGACAATGATTATTAGGATTAAGAGTGATTAAGAGAATTGGAGAGGATTTATTATTAGGATTAAGAGACTTGGAGGGATTATAGTAACAGCAGCAATTATTAATAGATATTTGATTTTTTAAATTAATTTAAATATTTTTAAAAAATTACGAATTACGGCATTTTTTCAGTTACGAATTACGATTACGAAAAATTTTTCTCAATTACGAATTACGATTACGAAAATTTTTTTAAAATTACGAATTACGATTACGAAAAAAATTTTTCAATTACGACGCAACTCTGAGCCGGACCCATGTTGAGTAACCAAAAAACGCCGGAACTTTCGGTAAACTCTAATAAAAACAACTTCTTAAGCGAAAAACTCCTACTGGAAATGAAAACGAGAAAACTGTGAAGTATAAAATTTTTGAAAATTTTGATTCCCCAGTAAACTAAAATGTGCTTAAATCAAAATTAAAAACAATTCCACCAAAAAATTATAAACTTACTTTAAGAGCCTTCCAAGCGCGTGCCCATCTACTCACATATGGCCTATACACTATCACCATAATTATTCTACTTAATAAAAATAAAAAAAATAATTGAACGGGCAAGCAAAAATTAAATAAAAAAATGAAATAAACATTTAAAAAATAAAATAAAAAAAATTATTTAAAAATTTATTTTCAAATTTCAACAAAATTTACATAAATTTTAAAAAACGATTATAATCCTCCAAAGGAGTTTCAGCAACATTTTCAGAAAAATAACGGTCACTTGGATGTAATAATTTGTAAAGAGTAATAGAATTTGGGGTTTTTGGTATATAATTTGCTTTTTTTAGACGATGAAGGTATTCGTGTCTATTACGTAAACCTTTTAAAAAAAGAAAATTTAATTTTTAAAAATTAATTTAAAAAATAGTAATACCAGTTATTGGACATCTCAAAGCGCAGGGATATTGAACTGAAAAATTAATTTTTGATATTTTAATTTAATAAAATAAAAAGGGAAAATGCTCCCTTCAAAATATTTAAAATTTTCCTTCATATTAAGGATGCGCGCTCGAATTGTCGGTTCCTGAAAATTCTTTGGATATCCGAAACCGAAACATCATCGGTTGGTCCAGAACCAACAACCCTGCTGTGTGCCATGACGTTTTGGCCTAATTTTTGGCCGTTTAGCGTGTTTATGGATTTAAAAAATCAGCGTTGTGTTTTGGGCGCCAGGCGAAAATTTTCGGCGCACATCCCTACTTCCCACTACTTTTTAATATAAATTTATTTAAAAAATTCCCCTCTCCAAACCAATTTGTTCATTTTCTATTTTCATAACATAAGCCAAATAATTATAAGAAACAAGCATTCTACTTATATCACAAATAAATAAACGTGGATCTGCCACAAGCATTAAACGTAAATCTTTTTGAGAAAATCCACATTGAATATTTAATGAACGAACAATTCCCTTAAATGATAATATTTTCAAATAAAAAAATAAAATAAACTCACAGAAATTCGGCCAATTCCAAATGCAATCTGAAAATTATATTTAAATTTATTTTTAAAATAAAATTTAAATGATTGTAATTAAAAGGGATTTTTGCTTGATAGCATTACCCTCCTTCTTCAGAAACTAAATAAAACCCAGAAAAAATCGCTCATCTAAATAGCCTTACTAGAGTTCGGATCTTGTGGTCCGGAATCCGGGTATTTTGATAAAAACCGAGTTTTTCGGATTTTGTCCGGAAAATCCGGTCAGGGTCGTCTCAAAAAACCCCGGATCCGGCCCTCAAACAAAAAAAAACTCGCAAAAAATATAAAAAATCAAAATTTAAAATAATTTCCAAAAAAACTCACAATTTTGGGTTCTTTAACCACAACAAGCCTTAATTGTTTAGAAGGAAGTAAAAATTGTCTGTGTAACCAACCCAAACGGGCATCAAGCCTTTCAACTGAATCATTAAGCCAATATCTGGATTCTAATACAATTTTTCGTATTTGAGGAAATGTAAAACGGCGATAATTTAAATAATTTAGGTGAGCCTTTAAATAAATATATAAATAATTGAAGTTTAAAATAAAATATACCCACCAAATATTTTAGTATTTAAAGGTGGGAGAGGGCTACCTAAGACAAAATCCCATTAATTTTAGATTCGTTATTATACATATCTTTAGTCCAAAGAGATCAAGGCCCAAGGATTTTAGATTCTAGTGTTCCCAATCAGGGGCGGGCGCAAGAGACAATTTCCAAAAATTCTACTTTGAGCGCCGCAGGCGAGAATTTCGAGATTTTTGAAGCCAAGTTGCCTGATTTCTTCCTTTTTTACCGCCGGAGGCGAAAATTTTGAGAATTTTGAAGGTCCATAAGCCAGATTTCTTCCTTTTTCTGCGCCGCAGGCGAAAATTTTGGAAAGTATGGAAGGCCAAGGAGCCAGATTTCTTTCAATTTTTGCCCTCAGATTGGGTATATCGCTTGCGTTTTTTTGCGTTAATTTTGGCCAAATTTACGCAAAACGCAACGCAAGGCCAAAATTAACGCAATGCGCCCGACCCCGTTCCCAATTCTAACAACTTAATCTAAAAAATTTTTACATTTAAATGTTCCTGTTTTTGTAACAAAAAATAAGGATTGCGAGATAAATAATTAGCCAAGTCATCAGGAGAAAACCCAACACTTTTATGTAACCAATAAATTTTTGGTTTGACATCACGTTCCCAATCTAGACGGACAAGTGCTTGGCCGAGACGAGGATCATTTTGTGTGGACTGAAAATTAAAAAAAGAAAATTTCAAAATAATTTTAAATATGTTGTTTATCGAGTGTTTAGTTACATGACTAGGGTTGTCGGTTCCAAACCGAACTGAACCGAAGATTTACGGTTCGATTTGTCGGTTCGGTTAACCGATGAATCTGGTTAAGCCGACAACCCAACTCACGACTAATGTGCGGATTTTTATTGAAATAAAAAACTGAAGCGACCCTGCCCTCGAAATGACCACTGTCTCTCCAATTCTTCAACAAAACTATCAATGAACATTTATGCTTTTCTTCTACTCGAACTAAATCTTCTATTCGAAAACACTGGTTAGTTAAGGTCTGTTCATATCAAAAATCGTTTTTGTGCCCTATTTCAAAAAAAATCCGAACACTACTCATAACTAAGAAAAAATCCTAAAAAATTTATTTCAAAAAAACCTCAAATAAATCAACACCCATATCAACAAGCATTTGAATAGTTTGAGAAAAATTGGCATATTGAGCAATTGAATGAGAATGAGTTGGTGGCATTATATCTTCTGTCGGTATAAATGGGTGAGGATTTGTACTGAAAAAATTATTAAGAAAAATTTTATAAAAAAACTTTGAGGGAGGCTTGGTTAAATCACTATTTAATAATTCTCCTTGGTCATAAATTATTCGTCTGAAACGATTAATTTCTCTAGAAGTAGTTTCTTCTCCTGTCACCATTTGTGAAATGTCTAACTGTGAAAGGATAAAATTTATTTTAAAAAATTCTAGATGAATGTATAACAGAAATGGAAAGAATTTTTAAAATATATTAGACTATTCTGCTACAAGCACGAGTAAAAGTAACACCTTCCAAGGAAATACTATACAGAAAATGGCAAAATATTTCCAACAGTTCAGAGGGTTATTTACCACCTTTTGGGATAGTAAAAAGCCAAACAAGTGTATAAATACCAGGGATAGCGCTGACCGGATTCTTTGATACACTGATATCACTTAAATATCCCTCCTTTTATCACATCAATTCCCTTACTTCTAAAAAATTCCCAATTCCCAAAAATCGGGAATTTGGTTTCTGTCAGCTCTATCCCTGATATTTATATACACTGATATTTATCGGGTTTTCAGGTTCCTATTCCAATTTCCACAAGGCAAAAAAATCTTTCCCACATTCACAAAAATATTTTCTTGTAAAAACCTCAATTCCGGGTTGTTTAACCAAATTAGGTGTTAACATCATAAATTCATATTCTTTTTGTTTTTGCCTGAGTTCATCATCCTCAATTCTTCCAAATTCATCTTCAACAGATTTAGGCATTTCAAGTTTTCCAAAAACTTTTTCGTTTAAAAAATTTTCATTTTCAATAAATTGTTGTAGTTCAAAACGGTCAGAATCTTAAAATTATAAAAAATTTTCGTTAAAACATCCTTCCCACAAACATCCCCACAAATTTAATAACCGTAAACAAAATTCAAACCTTTATCCACCAGATCAGAATCTAAATGTTTTTCATCCTTTAGACGAGCAACAGCAGCACTCGAAACCTAAATTTTAGATAATAAATTCGGCCCTACTCCAAAAGAAGGGTGAAATCGTTTTTTTTCATTACCTGCAAGGAAAGGAAAAAATGGAAAGGAAAATGAAGATGGACGGACTCGGACAGACAAAACACGGCTTAAAATTCAGAAGTAGACAATAAAAGCAGTAGACAACTGAAAAAAATTTTTAACTCAAAAATTTAAATTGATAGCCGTCCGTGTTTTGTTGTCTGAGTCCGCCCGTTTTTCTTGCAAGTAATGAAAAAAACGATTCCTCCCTTCTTTTGGGATAAACATAAATTCTACCCAAGTAAAGCTTTTTAGAAATTCTCTCGAATTAATTTATAAAAACCTCTTACATAACGAAGTCCAGAAGCAATTTTAAATAATCTTGAAGATAATTTTAAAGACATCCTTCCCCTCAAAAATTAACAAAATTTGAAAACAAAAAATTAAAATAACCGGCGATTATAAACGTCTAACAATTAAAAAAAAAATAAAAACAAAAAAATATTTTATTTTTTTAATAAAACTGAAAAAAAATTTTAACTCAAAAAATATTTCCCTTTTTTTAATTCCTTTTCATCACCAAAAAATCTTTATTCAATTATTTAGACGGCCCAAGCAATAATTGTTGTTGTTGCTTCAATTGAGATTTTTCCATGTCGCGAAGTTCTTTGTCAACTAAAAAAAAAGAAAATAAAAATTTAAAATAAAAATTATTCAAACTAAAGTAAGGCAAAATCATGATAAAAGCAGAAGTAGACAATACCCAAGTAGCTTTACGTGCTAGCGAAAACTGAAAAGAAAAAAATTTTTTTTAATAAATTAAAAAATATCCCTTAAATTAAGATTACGCGTGGCTAACAAAGTCAATTTATTCTGCCTAAGAGCAGAGGCTATAAATTTACTCTTTGAAAAGGTCAGTGAATTTCAACGAAAAATCAAGGTTTTATGTCTAATCTGGACTTTTCAAAATTGTTAATGTGTCTTTTAAATAATTTATGTGGAGATTCTCAAAGGAATACATAAAAGAGAAATTATAGACATAAGGAAAAAGGGAAGCCATAAAGTCCGAAATTACCCAAATAAACAAATTTGAAAAAATTCTCTTACAGAAGTGCCCAACAAAGTCCATCCCACACCAACAGAATAATAAACAGCAGAGCGAAGTCCAGCAGGAAACATTTCTTTAAGCCCTTCAATTCTTTCAAGTAAAGTTTCTTCCAATTGATCGTCATCAATTTCCTTTTAATTTTAATAATAAATTTAAAATAATAAAAAAACCTTAGCTAATTGCTCTTCGTTTGAAGCAATTTGGAATTGATCAACTGAAGGTTGTGAAGAAGGAAATTCCATTTTTGAAAACAATTAATTAAATTTAACTAAATAAAAAATTAAAAAAAAATTGGTTAAAAAAATAAATTTAGAAAGTTGCAAAGCTAAAAGAGAAGAAAAAAAAAGAAATGACTCCCCCATAACTTGCCAAATCAAAAATTGCCAATAAGGCTGGAAACCCATATCTTGCCAAATTTAAAAAATCCTAAACTTATCGGTATCAGCCCGACACTTGTCCAGTAGAGTTGGGCGGGATCAGGAGCCCGACGTAAAATCGGGATTTTGGAGTAATGACCCCGGACTTTGGGATTGGCTGAACTCTGGATTTATCCCCGGATCGGATTCCCGACCGTGACCAGATCCCGCCGACTCTACTTCCCAGAGAGGTTAAGGAAAGGTATACTTTTCATATTTAAGAGGATAGGCTACGAAATTGAAAGTTAAAAACAAAATCGTATCTAAAAAACATTAAGCATTTGGCGCAAAGCTTGAAAAGTTCTTTCCAGACTTGGAGGAGAAAAAGGAAAGAAATTGTTTAAAAAAAGTTAAAGATATTAAAAATAAAGTATAAAAACTTTGACAATCAAAAAATTTCAAAATTTAACGTATTTTTGAGATGCAAAAATTAAATAAATTTTCAAAAAAAATAACAAAAAGAATTTCAAAAAATTCAATTATTTATTCATTCATTTCAACATCATTTCCCCCTTCTTTTCTTCCTTTATTTCCTTCATTTTTATTTTCTTCTTTAATTAATTTAGCAGATGTTCTACTATCAATAAATAAATCCAAACATTCATTAACATCCTCTTTTTCAACAATTTTTCTTCCCCCAATTATTGCTAATAATTTTGCTGGGGTTAATAATTGAATTGTATAACGTAAAGAAGCATTCATTCCAATTTCACATAAACGTTTTAATGCTAATTCGTCTAATTGAACACCTTCGGCATCTGCCCTTATTTGAATTATCTTAAAAGAGATAAGGAAGGATTTTGAGATTTTCTTTAAAGATTAAAGAGAATTTTCGTCGGTATTGGGCATACGGACATATCGGGATATTTAAAAAAATATATGGACAGTTTACCTACCGATTTCGGGACCTTTGGCCAGGAGGTCTTGGAAAAATCTTTTCCTATTTAAGAAGGGGTTTTTATGTTTTCGAACCAACATAAATACACAAGAGGCTATTTTCTAGAGATGTCCGAGACTCTTGGTCTTGGTCTTGGAACCAAGACTTTTCTTGGTTTTTTTTCGGTCTTGGTCTTGGGGTGTTTGTCTTGGTCTTGTCTTGGTTTTATTTTTTGGTCTTGGTTTTTTGGCCTTTTTGGACCTAGTGCTTGGCCATCCAAATTCCTCAAAATTTTCGCCTGCGGCGCAGAAACTGGAAGAAATCTGGCTTCTTGAGCTCCAAAATTCAAAAAATTTTTTGCCTGCGGCGCTGAAAAAGTGACTTTTTTTGGCCTACGTCCTTCCAAAATTAATAAAATTTTCGCCTGCGGCGCAGGAAAAGGAAGATTTTTGGCTTCTTGGCCTTCATAATTCCCAAAATTTTCGCCTGCAACGCTGGGATGAGAAGATTTTTGGCTTAAAATTCCACCAAAATTGTACAAATTTTCGCCTGCGGCGCAAAAAGATAGGGATAAAATAGAGGACGGATATCAGCAGCCACCATCACTCCATCACCTAAGTCCCCCAACTTCATAATATTCCTTTTGATCCCTCTTAATCCACTTAAATTCCCCTTTAAACATCAATATCCTCCTTAATCCAAGGGCGTAGCCAGGGGGTCGATTTCGAGGAGGGCTAACGTTGGGTGTCGCCAAAATTTTCGCTTTACCCTTTGATATCACTAATATCCCGTTAATCCACCCAAATCCTCTGAAATAATATCTCATTGATTTTCCACCCAGATAAATTCTCCAAAATTTTTTGCATTTCGCATAGATTTTTCGAAATTATAGATAATTGTGCTGAAGTTGACTGTGATCGTATCAAAATAACAAAAAATAAACCAAAAATTTGAACTATGGGACCTAAAAATTGTTTCGAGTTTTGTATTATTTTTGGTCTTGAGTCTTGGAGTTTTGGTCTTGGTCTTGAGTCTTGGTCTTGGAAAAAATTTTGTCTTGGGTCTTGAGTCTTGGAAAAATTTCGGTCTCGGACATCTCTACTATTTTCCTCATATCAATTCCGATATGTCCACACACCCAGTATTGCACAGAATATGCGTGCACTCCAGGGGTGTGCCGAAACAGATTTTAAAAAGTAAAAGGCGAAACTGGTTCATCCCTGGTGCCCCTCCCCTCTTTCTCTACTTGAGGTCCATAAATTTCTTAATGTAAAAAATAGATTTACCGAAGAAATTTCATCAATAGAATATAATTTTGTTGGAACAATTAATAATCGATCAATTAAATCAGAAGGAATTCCATAAAATCCAACTTCATCAGAATTCCTTAGAAAAAATATTTGTTTTGTTTCTATTAAAATTACAAAAAAACCTAATTTTTGTCCTCCCCCGATTTGTAGCAAAAACAATAATTGGACTAATTTCAGATTCCAATGCTCTATGTAAAAATGTAAAACATTCCAAATCGAGCATATGAACTTCATCGATAAATAAAACACCGGGAAGGAGTTCTGCTTGGCCCTTAAAAATTAAAAAAAAATTTTTTGAAATTTAATTTAATAAATAACCGATTCAATTAATTGATTAACTACTTTGTTGACTTCATTTCTGAGTTTTTCTAAATTAGAAGGAACTTCAGTTTTAAAAATTTAAATTGCAGTGTAATATTTGTGATAAGGGAGGAGCTTTTAAACGACAATACAATAGTAGCAGACACGTAACCAGTGGGGGTAGAGGAGGGGGGTCCTGGTTACTCCCATGGATAGCAGTACCCGTTTAGTAAAAACAAGGGGCTAATTGTAAAGGGAATAGAAAGTAATAGGAGGATAAAAATCCTCCCCCCCCCCCCCAAATTGGAAAAAGAAAAAATTTGGGGAGGGCATTAGGCAAAGAAGAGAATTTTTTGGCTTAAGGCCTTCAAAAATTAATTTTGATCATAATTAAATTTTAAGCGTTTGGGACGATCAGAAAAAGAATTGAATAAATTAATCAAAAAATTCTACCCTTAGGCTTACAAAAAAGCAAATCTTCCGAAATAAAATTAGGTCGACATTTTATCCCCATTTTTTAAAAATAAACTCGGAAAACAAATAAAGACCTGTAATTTCAGTCTTTTTCGGTTTTAAAATCTGTGACAACATAGTCATCATATCCCCAGCCTTTCCATGTGGGGCAGAATTTGCAGAATCAAAATCATGTAAATTAACATACTTAAATTTGCTATAAAATTTCAAAAAAATTTTCTTTATAAAAAACCTGAACAAGCTCTTTACTTTTGTGTACATCACCCTTTGGCATTGGAACAAATTCATCGGCATCCAAATCGAATTCGTTGGCAAAAATATCTGACCGTCCCAAACGCTTAAAATTTCTTTATTTACAAATTCAAATTAATTTGGTTTTACTTGACTTTATAAGTTCAATCAAAAAATAGTAAATAGATTTCTTTGGTTTTACAAAGTAATGGGAGGTTCCAAAACATTTCTTCATAGGAACGGGCCCAGACCCAGTAGCCGTACGTCCCGAACATAAAGAAATGAACCTGCCCCTACTTTGCAAAACCAAAAAATGCAATTATTTTTTAATTGAACTCATAAAGTCAAGTAGAACCATCAATTTATTCAAAAAATACTTTAACAGTTCCAGAGCCAGCCTCAATATAAATAACATCACCAACTGAAACTTTTTGTTTCAAAAGAGAATCATAAATAGAAGGATCTAAACGAAGTTCCCGAGATCCTTTTGTTGTCTAAATTTAAATATAAATTTATTTTTTTAACAAAAATTATTTAAAAACCTTCAAAGTGCACATAACATGTGAAATTGTTTTCCCAAGTCCGGTCAAAGGGGAATTTTCAATTTCTTTTGGTGATAATTCTACAACTTCGCCTTCAAATACTTCTTTTGTTTCTTTTACACGAAGACCTAAAAAGGAGTTTAAAGTAGAGGTAGATACGACTGATTTTAAAACCAAAAATTTTGATAGTCCTTTGGAAAAATTAAACCGTTTTTATGAAATTTTAAATACCGGATTACGACAATTTTTGAAAATGAGTGATTTCTTAGAACGGAAGTACATGTTAAAAACCGGTTATATCTAATCCTAGTTTATCCGCAAAACTTAAAAAAATAAAAAATAACCGTATGACCGGTCCGTAACCAGGATTTCTGAGCTTAAGGGGGAGGGGAAACCCCTCATAGCCCTCTGGTTACGGGCCTGCAGTATTGCTGAATCACAAAAAAACAAACCAATAGCTTTTCGAATATTTTCAACCAAAACTTCAGTTTTCTTCACTTCACTAGAAAAAACCTCCGATCCCACCATCGGAACAAAAGGCACTTTATCCCCTAATTCCTGAGCCATAGCCATAGCAATTGCCGTCTTTCCAGTCCCCGGCGGACCAGCAAAAAGAACTGCCCGGCCGGCCATCTTTTTTTGTTTAACTAATTCAACAACAATTCCCGCTGCTTCTCTCGCTGCACATTGACCAACAAATCCACTTGCCTTTAAAAATATCTTTAAAATAAAATTAATTAAAAACTAAACATTATTCAAAGCTTCTCCAGTAGTCGAATTCAATCCAAGTCCTTTAACATGACTATGTGCTGCTATTCGAGCTTTTTTGTTGAATTTTTCCTTAGAAAATGTTGTTTAATTTTTAAATCTTTATTTCTTAACATTTTTAAAATTGTGCTAAAACCTAGCCTTGGAGGAAAGCCAAAAAAAAATCATATCAGAGCAAATATAAAACCAGCTTCAGAATTACTCTTTTCTGCTTTCAATTATTAAAATTAACCTCAATTTTACGTCCACCAGTTGATGGGACTTGAATTAAAACATTAGATTGTGAAGAATCTACTTCCATTAGAAAGTTTTTAAATTTTGAATAAAATTTTAAAAATTAAAAAATATAAAAATTTTAAAAAGAAAAAGTTAAGAGGAGAAGAGAGAAAAATTAGAGAAAAAGAGAAAAATAATTAAAAAACGTTTCGCCAAAGATTTAAACTAAATAAATATTTGAAGTGAAAATAATCTTTTTATCCTTGATCCAATCCGCATGAATATCTATTATTGAGAACCGGCACACTTAAATGGTAAGAATAAGTTTGCAAGCTTATTAAAAAGTTATAAGCGATAATTGCAATTATTCGGGGGGTTTTAGACATTTATCGGGTTAAATCTTTGGGTCTAATTAAATCAACCACAAAGGATTTATAGCGGAAGACTGTTAGGTGGAAGACTTTTTAGGTGTAGAAATACCTCACCAAACCTCCCTCAGGATGCCACCAACTCAAATTTCAACAAACCCGCCAAGCAACGAACCTGTCCCACGTTAAGTGCAAGTTAGATACATGACGGCATTTCACAACCACTACACAAAGGCTTAAGAAAGAAAATACTCATTAAGAAATTGATGAGTAATGTGATTAAGAAAGAAATTACTCAATAAAAAGGGCATTTATTATGAAAAGTGCATTTACAAAATACAGACAGTCTTGCGATTGTTGTTGTCGGCATTATTGGGTAAAAGGAAAAAAATTCACGTGAAAATTAAAAAATGTAATTAGCTAATAATTATATCGCATTTTATTTTCTTCTCCCTTTTATTTTTCTTTCCATTTAAAATTAAAAATGGTCAACGGCAAATAATAGTCAGACTGTTAAATTTTAAGCTTTATAAAAATTAAAATTCTTCTGGGGTATGATCTTCTTCATTGTTGTTTTTCCCTTTATTTACCGAAAATTTTGGAGCATTAAAGTCAAGGTGACAGATACCCAAATAATTTTCCAAACTTGATAGACAATTAATGTAAAATTTATTGCTTGTCTCCGAACCGTGGAGGGGGGGGGGCTTTTTAGGGATATGACAGAGGCAAAAATTTTGTTCGGCTGCAATAAAGCAGATTTAAACTACTGCCGCCAGGCATCGAACCTGAGTTTACTTCTAAATGCAAGTCTTAATCACCTTAACACGACAGTTGTTTTTAATACATTAATCTTTTTATTAAAACATAGAACAATGTATTTAAAAATTAAATTCTTTCCCCAAATATTCTTATTAATTCTTTTCCCCTTTTCATCTTGTAATATTCCTCCTCATCAAAATATTATTGTAACCAATTCTGATAATGTAAAAGACTTGGGTCAAAATATTAAATTGAAAGAATTGGAATTTACTGAGACAAAAGTAAAAGTTAGTATTGAGACTACTGCTGGAGTGTCTTTTAAGAATTTATATTATTTGTCTGGAGACAAAAATTGCAATTCTCAAGAGAGTATCGAATATACTAATGTTTATGGAAATTCTTTGACAATTGAAAATAGCAACAAAAATGAATATAAAAATGGAGTCAATATATACTTATCACAAAAATTGGATAATAAATTGCAGCATAAGACTGTTAGTGATTGTTTATTAACTGATACTTAGGGCCCTAGGAGACAACAAAAACCCCTAGCTGTTGGTTTTTGTTGTCTTCGGTATCTGGACCTACAGAGATTTTATTCTAGATTCTTAGTCAGATATCAGGGGGAGGGTGGATAAATCAGAAAGGTTTCTTTAAGTTCAAGAAGTGATTGTTGAATATTTTTAGTCTTGTTCTGTATCGACTTGCGGTGTGTCCGGTACTAACAGAAAGACTAACTAACAAGGCTTATCACGGAGGTAACAATAGCAATAGAATAACGAGACTATGTGCTGGAGTAGAATACAGCTTTGAATACAGACTGAGACTGACCAACTGGCCACCGACTAACTCACCCACGACTACTAAAAGGCTGCGCCTTTTATACTAAACACGCCACCAAAACAGTCACAAAATATTTTCTTATCTATACGAGGATTAATTTGCCCGTTTATTTTTGAACATTTTTCAGTTATTGATGACAATTTATCCAATTTTCTTCTCTGAAATAATTTTTGAATATAGAACACCAAAAAATGTTCAAAATCAACAAATAAAAATAAGTGAAGATCAAGCAGCTTTGCTCGATTATACTTGCAAATTAAAACAAATAGAATTTTTAAAAATTTCTTTGAATTTGGAGAAGGAAACACCTCCAAAAAGACAAAATACGAGAAAAAGAAACTTTGAAAATTTTCAAAATTTTGAAGAAAAAAATAAAATAAAAATTGAAATTAAATTTAAAGAAATTGGGAAATACTTTATTTATTTAAATTCAGCCAATTTTTACGTAGGAGATAGAACAGAAATTTTTATTTCAGAATTTATTTTTAATGTTAACAACCCAAATGAGATAAAAACAATTACTAAAAACTTGGAAGAATTAAATATAAATGAAGCTAAAATTTTGGAATTAAGAAAGGGAATATATTTTAATGTCTCTAAAGGAGGAGAAGATGAGAAGAAGATGAAAAATGATAATTCTGAATTTAAATATAAAGGACATACTATAGCTTTTGGATATATTAAATCTGTTTTTGAAGAAAACAAAAAATATAATAATGACCCTAAAGGGAAGAAACCTGTTTAAAGAGAAAATATCGAAATGTTTATTGGATATACCGTATTTATTCTAATTGAATGGCCGCCATTTAATTTTTCAATACCCCAAAAATTGTGATTTTATTGGAGAGGCTATTCAAACGGAGGCGGCCATTCTATTTTTCATTCATCGGAAAAGTGTCATTCAATCGGAAGGTCCATTCAAATAGAGAGGCCATTTAATTAGAATAAATAAGGTATTTTAAATAAAAAGATTTTTAAAAATGCAGAAAAATTCAAAATACAAAAAAGAATAAAAAAATTAACAAATAAAAGAATATCCTTTGAAGAAATTGTGTAAAGATGTACCTAAATTTATTTGATTTTTAGTTTCTTTTTGTACATACACTCTGTCCCAAAAACTTGCAATATGTTTTAGAATAAGCTAAATAAACATATATTAAAAATTATTTGGAGTTTGTAAAGCAATTAAAAATATTATGATGAAATTTAGGGGTGAACTCATAATTTTGGGACAATGTAGTTAGAAAATGCATCATTTTCTTGGTTTCAGAAAATAGGGCAATTCCATATTTTCGGTTCGAATTTCTTGCGATTCCAGATTATTTTTCCTTAAACAGTTCCGCTATTTGGACGGTTCCAAAAATCGATAAATATTTTTAGTCTGATATTAAAGATTCTAACAAAAATTTGTCAAAATTTAAACAATCCAGTAAAAAACTATTAACGAGAAATCATTTTTTATTATTTTTACAATTGGATTATATTCTGGTTTCAAGTTAAAAATTTCAATTTACATGTACAGTACGACTTATATTTTAAAATTTATTTTATTTAAACACTCGATAAATTGCTTTCTATGATTTTTGTATCAATAATAATTTGTGTAGTATTTGAGAACTTAAGATACAGGTTTTATTACATGTTATTTTATAGCAGGGTTGCGTCGAATTACGAATTACGGCGTTTTTTGAGTTACGAATTAATTTTACGAAAATATCGTGAAAAATTACGAATTAAGAAAATAAAATGGATATAGTGTAGTTCACCGGAGGTAAAAGTTCGGGACGAGACATATGTCATTCGATTCGTCTCGGCGAGCTGAGTCGAACGGTACCACTCCCAATTTCAGGAAATGATTCTGGACCGAGTTATAGGTCCCGAAAAATCGAAAAACCAAAGGGGGGAGTAAGCACTTTTTTGGGATGAAAAATTCGATTATGCAAATTATACCTCATTCGAAAGAGCTCGTCGAGCTGAGTCGAATGACACCAAAATCAACGAAATCCGACTTGATTGGACCGAGATATAGACCCCTAAAAATCGAAGATCCAAAGGGGCGATTTTTGGAATAAAAATTTTTTTATACATATAATACCTCATTCGAAAGAGCTCGACGAGCTGAGTCAAATGACACCAAAATCACCGTGATTGAACAAGATTAAACAAAGTTATGATACAAAAAAACAAAAACCTAAACTCATGGAGCGTCGGCGAGGCGCTTGTGCAAAACCCCGCGCTTCGCGCGGGGTTTTGCGGCACGCGCCTCGCGGGGAGTCTACGGGCGCTGGTTCTGGGCTCGTAATATAAACCTATTCCTATCTCGGAAAAATTCCGTCATAAGTCCCGGAAACCGATTCATACAAACAATATGTCATTTGAAAGAGCTCGGCGAGCTGAGTCGAATGACACCAAAATTAGGTCCCGGTCTCACCCATGGACCGAGATATAGGCCCTCGAAAATCGAAAAACCATAGGGGGGACCAAGCACATTTTTGGGGTGAAAAATTCGAATATACAAATAATAGCTCATTTGAAAGAGCTCTTCGAGCTGAGTCGAATGACACCAAAACCGCCGTGATTGGTCAAGTTTGTTCGAAGTTATGACAAAAAAACAAACAACATAAACCTATGGGGCGGCGGCGAGGCGCTTGTGCAAAACTCCGCGCTTTGCGCGGAGTTTTGCGTCACGCGCCTCGCGGGGAGTCTACGGGCGCTGGGTCTGGGCTCGTAACTTAATCCTATTCCAATTATCGCTGTGATGGTCATGCCCGGCTTGCTCCGCAGCAGCATGAACATC